GCTCCATACCTTTGTTTCCAAATTCTCCATAGGAGATCTCAAACATTCCTGGTTCCCCATTTAAATCTTCCTCTGTTCTACTCCAACTCCAGCCTTGATTCTCGTCAAACACTACGTCTCTGTTCACTACAATCTTCTAGCTTAGAGGATCAAATAATCTGTAGGCTTTAGATCCAGGTTCTGTTCCAAGGTGAACTAGTTTTCTTGATCTATCATCAAGCTTTCTCAAGTGTCCACTGTCTATTTTAGCATAACACAAACAACCAAAAATACGTATATGCTCAACATTTGGTTTTTTCTTCTTGAACACTTGATAGGGAGTCTCTGTGACCAAAGCTCTCGTTCCTACATGATTGATAAGGTATGTAGAATGCCTTACAGCCTCCCCCATAAATAATTTGGCACGCTCATGTGTTTAAGAACACTTCTGGTCATCCCCAAAAGGGTTCTGTTTCTTCTTTCAACTACTCCGTTCTGGTGAGGCGAGTATGGGGCAGTAAGATGCCTAGTGATTCCAGATTTTTCACAATACTCTTGAAATTCTCCAGAACAGAATTCTCCACCACGATCCGTTCTAAGCGTTTTGATCTTAGCTCCTGTTTCCTTCTCTACCGTCTCTTTGAACTTTTTAAACTTATCAAACGCCTCTCCCTTCTCTTTGAGCAAGATTGACCACATATAACGGGAATGATCATCTATCAACACGAATATATATCTGTTCTTGGCAGGTGTGGAAGGGGTGATGGGTCCACAGAGATCCCCATGTATGAGCTCTAGTATCTCACTTGCACGGTATGATGTTGCCTTAGGAAACACTCCTCTTGTTTGCTTGCCAAGAAGACATGATGAACATGTCTCTCTCTCGACCTCTATTTTGGAATTCCTACCACAAGCTCTCTTTTAATCATAGTCTTCATTGTTTCTCTGGAAATGTGGCCTAACCTTGCATGCCACTTATCAGCTTCGCTAGAGATTATGGTTTGAAGACATCTCGTACCAGTGCCTTCCATAAGAACTTTGTGTAACCTGTTTCTTGACCTCTTAGCCTTTGTGATAAGTCTCCCATCCTTATCGTGTAGCATTAGATAATCTTCCTTCATCCTTACCTTGCAACCTGACTCGGTGGCTTGGCATAAACTGATAATATTGCTCTTTAGATCAGGTATGTAATACACATCAGTTAAGATTATTCTTTTCTCTCCATCCTTCATAAAGAATAAAACTGAACCTTTCCCCTTGATATCAATGTGTGAGTCATCACCAAAACGCACTTTCCCAGTGATAGTCTCATCAATTCTTGAAAAATAATCTATGTTTCCAGTCATATGATTGCTCGCACCATTGTCTAGATACCAGACGTTTTCTCCTGCTACACTTGTCTCGAAATCTTGCAGATTCATGTTATTTTCGTTTAGGAATATTATCTCATGCATTAACAAGTCTTCAGCTTCTTGTGTGTCTTCGTTTCTAGTTTCTTGAGCTTCCTGCAGCTTGAGTAGTCTATCAGGACAATCCATGGCGAAGTGGCCGGTTTTGTCACACCTGAAACAGGTGATCTTGGATAGGTCACGGTCATAGTTGTAAACATAACGTCCACGACCTCTCCCTCTACTAAAACGTCCACCTCTGCATCTTCCATGTTTTTGTAGCTGTTGGAATCACGGCTTTGTGTCTCATTGTTAGCATACATCAGCTTAGTTTGATTGTCTTGTGTCTCCTCTTCTTCTTCAGCTACTCTATCCTCATACGCTTTCATACGTCCAATAATATCTTCAAAGTTCATGCTATCTAGGTCAAGCATTTGTTCCACAGATGCCACAATATGCAGATATTTCTTTCTTGGAAGACACCCAAGAAACTTTCTCACCATCTTGCCTTCTTCAACAATCTTTTCCTAATGCAGCTGATTTAGATGAAATCTCAGATAATTTACAGCAAACTCATCAATTGTCTCTGTATCTTTCATCTTAAGTCGGTCAAACTCTGTCATTAGGGTTTGCAAACGTGCCTCTCGAACTCGATCAGCCCCCATATACCTAGTTTTGATGGTGTCCCACACCTCTTTTGCCGTATCCAATCCTCCTACTTGAAGAACAAGAGTCTCAGGTATTGATTGGAAAAGTAAAGCTTTGGCCATAGTATTTTTCCTTTTATCTTCTATCTTGTCTTCCACGGCTTACCATACCTCATGAACCTCCAACAAAAGTTTGACCCTTATGGTCCAGACCATGTAATTGGTTGCGGTTAACATCGGACAAGTTATAGACGTGGTTCCTCCTTCATCTCTAGGTTTAGCAACAGCTGTAATATCTCTCATGATTTCTTCAAGATCGATTCCACAAGCTCTGATACCAAATCAAGTTCAAACTATATGGATATGTAAACCTTAAAGAAACTCTTCTTTATTAATCACTCAATATGCTTTACAAAATCACTCAAAACTCTCATAAACTCATAAAACTCACAATAGGATACAACACTCTTGTATCTCTATTTATATAAAACCACTTTTCCTAAACTCATTAGGATTTATATATTATTTAGATAACTCTTATCTAAACTAGGATTTAGATAACATGATGCTCAAGTTACTTTCATGCTTTTTTTTTTTTTTCATGTTTATCTCCAACAAATCTTTGGTGAATAATGGGGGTGTGTTCGAAAATTATGATAATGGTTCATATCTTATTCGATTTTATCTGGATTCATTAGAAGAAGAACAAGGAAGCAGAAGAAGACGATGACATACAAAAACATGTTTTCATCACAAAGGGACATATTGGTAAATTGCTTACTCTGACACCAAAAGTGAAGCACACTTGACCACTGTTCAAGGTATTCTCCTAAATTCACAATTATTTCGGGGTTTTGGCCTAATTGACTCATTTTTATATTGTAAATAACGCGGCAAGGAGAGAGAGAGAGAGATAGAGCGGTGGAGTCGTAACTCGTAAGTTTGTGTAGGAGAACCTACTCTGGATAACGGAGGTTAATGCCTGCTGGCTCTTGAAGTAATCGAAAGATCTTTGTGATGCTGACTGATTCCGATTTTTAGGGTTTTTTTTCTTCGTTTCGATGTTCCCTGTTGCTTTTGTGCTGAATCAGATTGGTTTTGCGTTGTTCTTGAGTATTATTGCTTGATGGAGACGAATTGATCTTTCCGATCGATTTTGAGTTTCTTTCGATTGAAATCTGAGATAAATTTAGGCGACGATTAATGTTGTTCAGTTTCAAAGGGGATTTGAGAATTGGTTATGCTGTTAGCATAAACTGGGACCTACTCGGTCTTTCATTGATAGCAATTAGGGCTTCCAAGAGCTGTGGCTTGCGTGTTTCCTTCAAAATGTCTTCTCTAGTTATTGTTTCGTTCTGATCTTGATTTATGGGTTGATTATCAGGTTATGGAACAAGTTTACATCTGCTCAGGCTGCTACCACTTTCGGGTTTTCTCATTGCATGAAGCTCTCGATTGGCGGTTTCTTGCTCGCTCTGATTTCCTTACTGCCTCTTTCCTGAACTGCACTTAGCTGTTCTGTGATCTTTATGGAAAAGTGTGATGCAAATTTCTGAGTCAGGTATGCATTTTCTTTTTACGAAACCAATTGATATTTGCATTTTTAGCTTTATTTCTAATATATTTGGTTTTTATTTTTAAATTTAATTATGTCAGCTAAGAAAATAAGATGTTTTTTTTCTTTTTGGAGTATGAATAGATATGGAAATTTAGAGAAAGGAATAAAACTGTTATAAAATAAAAAATTACAAAAGCTCAAAAAAAAAAAAAAAAAAAAATAACTCCAAACTTATATAACTCCTTGATTTTCTTTTGTTTCATATTTATGGAAGCATGATTGTTTGTGTGGCATCTTTTTTTTGTGCAGGGCTGATGTCTTCAAGACTTCAAGTCATCCTTAGCATAGTCCTTGAGTCTCATCTAAACCTTTGTCCCTACAGTTTCAAAAGTTTCTTATGGGAGCTGACTGAACAAGGATGTATCAGTTTCTGGCATGTCGTAGCTTTGATAAGTCTTTTCCTCGAGTCTTGAGTGAATTGTCATGAGCGTGGGTTTCTTACCCAGCACATTCCTTCTTCTTGGTTCTTTGTGTCGTCCAGTTCGCAGTATGTTTTGCGTTCTTCTCTTGGTGTCTTTCTTTTGCCTTGATGGTCAACCAATTTATTTTCTAAGTAAATAACGGTTAGCCGGAGAATCTTTGAGTTTTCTGGCATACGAAGAACGGAACAAGTGGAAGATTGAAGTTACAGATATATTTCAGAAGTTGTTTACAAACAAAAACTAAAGAGGATCCTGTGTTTAACCTAGAGCCATGGAGAGGTGGGTTTTGAATTTCTCTATCTGTTCTCTATCTTTGGCTTTAGACCCTTGAGCTATAATTTATGTTTCCTTTTCGATGCCTTCTGTAACTGTAGGTATAATTTAGTCAAAGAAGTTGGTAATGGAACTTTTGGGAATGTTTGGCGAGCTGTCAATAAACAGACGGGTGAAATTGTAAGTTGGTTTCTTAGAGATCAAATTTTCTATAGTATTGTTGCTTGATTTTTTTTGGGGGTTGCAATTAAAAAAATGAAGAGGAAGTATTACTCTTGGGAGGAATGTGACATGTGTTAATCTAAGAGAAGTGAAGGTATTGTATCTCCTTTACTCCAAATGCTATCAGTCTTTCTTTGTGTATGTTTGCTGATCATCTCTTTTTCATACTAGTCTCTTAGCAAAATGAATCATACAAACATTCTGAAGCTGAAGGAAGTCATCCGCGAGAATGATAACCTATACTTTGTGTTTGAGTACATGGTATACTTCTTGCTACTTTTTTGTTTGATCTTTGTTCCTTAGTTGTTTCTTCTCCAGTGCCCTTACTATTCTTCTTGTTCTTGCTCGAGCAGGAGTGCAATCTTCACCAGCTTATGAAGGATCGCCCTAAGCTTTTTGCAGAATCTGATATCCGTACTTGGTGCTTCAAGTCCTTCAAGGTCTTTCTTACATGCATCAGTGTGGATACTTTCACCGTGATCTTAAGCCAGGTAATTGATACCCTTGAGTTACCAATGAATATCAGCACATGTGAAATATTTTGTCAAGTTAACCCCTCTCATAGTTAAATATTTTGTCAATGAAACATGTGTATTTTTTTCTGATGCAGAAAATCTATTAGTCTCTAAAGATGCCATTAAAATTGCTGATCTCGGCCTGGCCCGGGAGATTGCTTCGAGTCCACCTTATACAGAGTATGTCTCGACACGCTGGTAAGGTTCACTTCCCTGATCTGTTGAAATGAGTCCTTAGGAAAATCACTCTTTAATTAGTTCAATGGTTCATCTCGTCCTTAGTGGCCGCTAAATTCTGTGCTCTAACAGGTATAGGGCACCTGAAGTACTTCTACAGTCATATGTTTACACGTCAAAAGTTGGTTAGTGTTCTCAAAATTCCTACAAAACGAAGTCCTTCAATATGGTCTTGGTCCATTTATTAACACTGGAGTTGTGTTTCAGATATGTGGGCAATGGGCGCTATTCTGGCTGAGCTGTTGTCTCTTCGCCCTCTTTTTCCTGGAGCTAGGTATATATCTAATGGTGTTCATTCCTGATTATTTATATTGTGAATAAGATCCTGATATAGCAAAATCTCTGTTTTAATGTGTGCAGTGAAGCAGATGAGATCTATAAAATCTGCAGTGTGATAGGTAGCTCAACTGAAGAGACATGGGTGGAGGGGCTTAATCTTGCTAGTGTCATCAGTTACCAATTCCCTCAGGTAAAATTTTTGCACAAATGTATCTAGGGAAAGAAAAGCATCGTGGATTTTTGTAATCTTAGGATACTAGTGATGATCTGTATTTTATCTTGCAGCTTCCCGGTGTACACCTTTCAAGCTTAATGCCATATGCTAGTGCAGAGGCGGTTAACCTTGTTGAGCGGCTATGCTCATGGGATCCCAACAACAGGCCGACTGCTGGAGAGGCTTTACAGCATCCGTTCTTTCAGAGTTGTTATTATGTTCCACCATCTCTCCGTGCCAAAACGTCTGCTGGGCAGAGAGGGTCTCTCGAGCATTAGCAGAAGCAATCCGTCAAGAGGTTACCGGCGACTTTGACTAATACTGCTAATAACAAGCCGTTCAACAGTTATGCTACTGCAAAAGCGAATGCTCCTCCTTTTGGCGCTTGTCAGACCCAGACGAAGCAGGAGATAGCTAATAAGATTAACCAGGAGACAGCATGGAACAACAAAGCTATGGGCAGTTACCATGTCAGAGATGCTAAGTATATACCATCTCCTGGAAGGAAGAGTCCTTGTAAGTAAAAATCACATGTTTTTTTGTTATTTCTATTCTCATGGTTTGATTATTCATCTGAGGGAAATCAAATGTATGCTCTTTTGCAGGCTCTATGAACAAGAAGTGGGCCATTCCTCGGGGGCCTTCAGAGACTGCAAATAAAGTGGCAAATGCAGCGGTGAGCGGAGGAAGATGGAGGCAGAGGCAACAACAACCGGCAATGAAGGCAGGTTGGGTGGGAGAAAGTGGTAACATGTTCCTCAGACCTACACACCCTCCAAATTCCTACTCTAGGAGAATCGCCGGTTAAAGCTCTTCAAGACAGTATCTTGTAAAATGAGTCAATCATCATCATCCTATCCGAGAGTCCAAAGTCATGAAGACCAAGCTATGTATTTTTTTTTGTTTCCCTTTTTCAAAAACTTGTTGCATGTTCATGGAACTTGTTCCCTCTGTACTGACTTTAATGCTTTTGGTCATGGCTTGACTAATATGTATGACAGTATGAGAAATACTTTTCATTTCTCAACAATGTTCTTGGCTTTGAACCTTGATGAATGAAATTAGACCACCCTTCCAAGTCTTTTAGTATAGTAGTACCTACCGTGAATCCATTTCAATTGTTTATCGTAAGGTTGATTTAATCCAATTTCTTTCGTTTTGAAGCATTAGTAGGCAGTGTTTGGCTGCTGATGAAAAGTTGTTTGGCGATTTGATATTTTGTTTTTAATCTGCCATTTGTTCGTTTGATTTCACTAGATTTTGATTGTGTGAGGCTTTTTCTTTCATAAGTCGCGTTTGAAGATGAACATAGTTACTTCACCGTTTAGAATATGTTAGTGACCGATTGTGTTAGTGGTCTCAATGGCGGCTAAAACCATTCTTCTTACGGCTTCTTATAAACAGATATTCTTCTCTCAACAGATCATTGTGTTCCGGCCAGAAAGGCCCCCTTATGTCCGTCTAAACATCACATTGCAGGTCTTATCAGCAAATATGTGAGCAATAAAAGATATTTGGCAAAACGTGCAGTAGATATCAAAAAGTTATCACAAAAGCATACAATGCATCATCATCTCTATGCAAAATAAAGTTCATGGTTTTGAGCACAAAGAAGTCATGGTTGAGCAAACGACATCAAGAGGTTCCATCATAAAACATACAATGTCAACAACACTTCTTATGCAGAAAAGAGTTCATAGTTGTGCAGAGAAAGTAGAAGAACTACATGCAAGATTGAATACGTAACCCGGGAAATGAGTTTTATTCTGATCACTTGCCTATAATGAGTTTAGCTCTGGCATCCCCTTTGTTGATCTGGAACTGATCCGTTAACCCAAAGTGAGCCATTAAAAGCCAAACAAAGTTGATAAGCTCACCACCTCTACTAAGCTGCTCCACATGAGCCGTAGAATCACAGTGACACGCTGCATAACAGAGAAGTTCCACCCACACTTTACTCAATATGTCCCATTTGTCTTTCCAGTACCTTTCCTCCAGCTGCATCAAGTCTTTAGCTAACCTGCTTGCATCAAACAACACAGACTTGCTTCTATCTCCCTTAACACCCATTGGATCAATATCACTACTGACGTCAAGGATCGTCTTGCTAGCTATCTTCACATTTCTAACATTCTCAATATGCCTCCTGTGGAAGAACTTGTCAGCTTCAGCCATCGTGTCTCTGAACCTGATCTTCCCAATTCCAGCAACCTCGGACATGAGACCAGGTTGCATGATCAGGAGATACATCACGTAGTCTGAAATGATTTTGCTGAACTCACGGTTGCTGTAATGCTTACATTTATCATATCCCTCAGGGATAGTCTCTTCTTCCTGCTGGTAACATAGCTCTGTTGCAATGTGCCACATCAAAAGACTCTGATCATAATCAAAGTTTGTGACATAACCCACCAGTTTCTCCCTGTCTGCATCCTCTGGAAGGTTGTCTCGCAACGTCCACTGTCCTCGGGCCAAAGATATCCTTTTAGCATTCTCAGGACTGTCTCCAAACTTTGACTTGTATTTAAGCTCATTGAACATGAACGCCCAGAGCTCTTTAGTCATAGGCTCTCCATGTACAAAGAGCGTCTTGTAAACCCTATCAAGCACATCCGAGATGTCGAAGAAATCGCTGAACTTATCCCACACAAACTTGATGAAATGAGGAATGCGAGATAGGAAACCAAAATAGAAAGGGTAGATAGTACTACGAGCCCAAGGATGTTTTCTGGATGTCTCATTGACTTTGTGGCTGATCCACTTGTGCACAGCGTTGATCAACGTAGCAACCCATCCACCAAGAGTTTGGATGATAAAGTTGAGCTTCTCAAATGGGTAAGTGAAGGCACTCCATGCGTAGCGGCGAAGTCTACCTCTTGCGTCATGGATCCTCTCTACCTCTGCATTTGTGGCGTATGCTAGGAAGTTAAACACGTTAATGCTTCCACACCATCTCCTGAGGAAGAATCCAGTCGTAAGCACCTCATGCTTTGAACACTCATCATCACCTTCCTTGTTACACTGATAGTCACCTTTCTCGTGGCACTTTTGCATCGTCCAACTAAGCTTTCTCAAACTAAGTAGCCAGTTGAAAAACCGATCTTTCAACGATAGTTCTTCGTCCGGGTTGTCCTTCAAGGTGCTCAGTGCAGCACACGTCCAGTCAGAAAACAGAAACAAGAGTATGGATATAAGATCCAAAGCTAAGCCAACTGCAAACAGCGTGTAGCTAACCACTACGTCAGCTCCATGGAAGTCTCGTCCTTTGTTTGGTCTCTTGTCAAAGAGAATGAAAGCTGCCACTAGGGTCCCTGAAGCAACCACCCGTGATATAGTTCCAATAACGGTGTGAAGAACAGCTACCTTGGTGAACAGAGCATCGTAGAGGAAGCCAAGCTCGACTTCAATGATCCTCAGAGCTTCCTCGGGATCTGTTAAGTTCTCAAAGATCTCTAGGCTCTCGTCACGCTCCCTGAAGCTGAAGATAAGGTTGACTACAAGGCCCTTGAATGTGTTGAAGAACTTGTAAGCATACTGAGCAATCTCAAGATCAGTCAACCGACTCTTTTCTTTTTTTCTACTCTCCGAGGCTTGTGCTGGATGCACCAACTTCTTAGGCCTATTCTCTTTATCCGGCTCATCGATCAGAATGATCTTTGTTGGTAGTCTTGCCTCTTTCTTGGCCTTGTATTCCTCCATGAGCTTCGCGTAGTTTGGTCCTGGATCTGGTGCTTGAATCATAGAGTCCCTAAACTTGTCCAAACTAGCACTATACAAAGCCGTTGTCCTTTCTAGATACTTTATAGTCCCAGAGATAAACACTAAGAGTATTATCAACCAGAGGCTATTTGGGAGAGACTGAAGAACGACATAAACACCAGCAATAGCCTGAAAGACAAGACCAAAAACATGTCTGAGCCAAAGAGCGTTGTCTTCAAGGGCAAAAGCTGTGATTGTGTCTGGTCCACCAAGATGTAAGAGCAAGAAGGGTGCCCATAAGGCCATGAGCTTCTTGTCCTGCAGAGGGTCATCTTTTTTTGGTTCCTTACCTTGGTTCTTGGAGATGAGACCAACGGCGAAATTAGCAGACCAATCTGCTAAGAGATAAGATGACCAGACGAGCATGATCAGGAGCCTTCTTGGCGTGCGTTTCCTGAGAGGTGAGAAGCATATGAGAATTGCTTGGAGGCTAAGGCTCAGAATGATTGCTCCTCTTATGTTCCATCTGTCCCACACATCTTTGATGTGTTTTGGTATCACTTCCACCATTGTTGCTCTCTCTCTTTGGAAAGAAAAGACAAGAGCTTCTTACTTTTCTCTCTCTTGATGTGGTTTTTTTCTTTTGTACTCTCTTTCTTTCTTTCGGTTACTGAGATTTTTTTTTTCACAGATTGGCTTAGAGAAATTTGGGGTCTGTGAAATGTTGTTGGGAAGCCATTGATGCTCTTTTTTACTAGAAACCTCAAACCCTCTAATGACTCGGGAAAGAGATGACTCAGCGACTCACTCAGGTCTAGCTGTTCTGTTTTTTTCTACGAGTTAATAATATACTATTTTGCATTTTTGTACGTTTATTGCAAATTGTTTATAAAAAAAAAAACTAGTCGTTATTCGCATAGTAAAAATCATCTTTTTAAATAAAAAAAAATTCTTTGGAATAAAAAATCTTTCTTCTTCTTTTTAGAGAACTTCGGCTAATTGGTCTTTGTTTATAAACATGAGGAATAATAAAATAAAAATATGACAGCTGTTGGTAACAATAATTAAAGTTAATATATCAGAAGTTGAGCTCGCGTCGTTTAAGGATAATACATAAATCAACTAAAATCCAGTTTGAATCTTTAATCTATACTATTAAAACTCCTAGGAATGTGGTTATTTTTTGTTTATAATAGAAACTATCAGTATATTATTTGAAGACTGCCCCCTCGTTAGTCTTATCTTTACTCCAGTCTGTTCCTATTTTTAATTGTTTGTTCTCCGTTTCGATCAGTTTAACGTTTGTGTCGCACTTTCCTGAATTCCTGTAATGCATTTCGATCATTAGGAGAGTTGTCTTATGGATCTCAGGAACTAACCAAGCTCACAAGAACGAATGTATCAGCCAAACATAAGATAAACAAGAAGGTCGTAAGCTACAATGCAGTGCAGGTGATATAATTGCTGCTAATGATACAATAGATGCAAACAGTTCAAGGCACTATTACTCTTTAATTTGAAACAACAAAAGAACACAACTGAAGCAAATAGGGGAAACTAATGTTGCTGCCGATTTATTCGAGGATCACTTGCCTATAACCAGTTTGGCTCTAGCATCTCCTTGGTTGATCTGGAACTGATCTCCTAGTCCAAAATGAGCCATCAACAGCCACACAAAGCTAATGAGTTCTCCACCTTTGCTTAACTGAGCTGCATGTTCTATAGCGCCACACTTAGTTGCTGCATAACAAAGCAACTCAACCCACACTTTGCTCACTACTTCCCACATGTATACCTCTCCCTTGGCCTTCTTCAAGCCATCCTTTAATTCGGGAAGCTTTTTTAAACCCTTAAGCTCTTTGGCCAACATGCTCCCATCAAACAGCACCGACTTGCTTCTATCACCTTTCACGTCAATAGGTTCAGCTTTTGCCGGTGCGGTCACAGATAAAATCGCCTCACTAGCCTTCTTTATGTCTCTGTATTCAATATGCCTCCTATCAAAGAACCTCTTAGCCTCCTCGCATGTGTCCCTGAACCTTATCTTCCCAATACCAACAACAGCTGACATGAGAGTGGGTTGCATCATCATGAGGTACATCATGTAGT